TTCAACCATTATTTTGAAGAAATATTATGCAGCTCATCATCCAGAACTAAACATTGTTATCTCCGCGAATGCGAACGTTGTCCAGGTCTCTCAGATTTTGAAAGAAGTTTTTCAGAAAAATTCGAGGAACAAGGTATGTCTGAAATATGTTTTGAACAATGGGTTTCATTTGATCGATGTAGTTTATAGAAACTTGTAAAACCAGTAGATGGATTTGTTCCTTATTTTTGCGAAAAGTTGGAAAAACTGGTATCCCATGATTATATTAAAACTAAGCAGTCTAATTTCTTTAGAAATACAAAAAATACTCTTAAAAATGGAGAAGTTGTCATAATTTGTGATTTTTCCGAAAATTATTCATTTGCTCTTCAAGATGCTGCCCAAAGTAGTTACTGGAATAATCAACAAGCTACTATTCATCCTTTTTTGCATTTATTATTCAGAATCAGGTATAATTAAAATTTAAGTTTGATCGTAGTCTCTGAAGTTTTAAAACACGATACAATTGCGGTGCAAGTATTTATTTCAAAATTACTGACCTTTTTGCAAACAAAAATAGAAGTAAAAAAAGCGATGTTTATGTCTGATAGAGCTGCATCCCAATATAAAAATTGCAAAAATTTTGCAAGTCTTTGTAAATTTAAAACGAAGTACAATATTGATGTTGAATGGCACTTTTTTGCAACTTCGCATGGCAAGGGACCATGTGACGCGATTGGTGGCACATTAAAACGAATAGCAAGGAACGCAAGTGTGGCTGTAGAACACGAACATCCAATCACAAGTGCAGCAGAGTTATATGCATGGGCTAACCAGAAGAGTAATGATTATTTAACAAAAATGTCATTTTGTTTTGTGTCACAAAAGGAATACGAACAGGGGGGCTGCAGAATGGAAAAGTATTTTTGAAAAGGCCAAAACGATCCCAGGTACAAGGAAATATCACTGTATTGTTCCGATTTCCAAAAATAAAATATCAGCGAAACTATTTTCGAATGACGAAGAACGCACGATTCATAACATATAAAAACATGCCAATCAAAAGTTCATCAAATAAAAATATATGCAACGAAAAGGTTTATGTACAAATTATTATTATTAAAGACGATCGAAAGTAATAAATGTAAGATGCAAATAAAAACGCATGGGTATTTCATTTATTTATCTTATTTATCTTATCAGTTTAAAACCAATTTTCCAATAGTCTATTGGTGAAAGGGTAAGTTGAAGGTAAGTACATGCATATCTTGCAAAACTTATCATATTTGATGGACAATCACGTATAACTTACGAAAAGGGCATATTTTCTACAAAAAATTGATTTTGATGAAAGTAAATTTGAAATATCTCGAAAACGGTTATATTTAGGAAGTTTATCGATATGAGCATTATCGTTTGAAATAATTTTTATAATCATTTACTAACATCAAACTGAACATTTTGCCGTAAATAATGAAATTTTCAAAAATGCCTCAAAATTTGCTCTTAGAAAAACTTTTTTATTGAAAGTTTGTCCATCCTAGAGTTGTTTTCAAAACTTCTGCTTTCTATTCAAGTTTTTTATAAAAAAATTAAAAAAAAAAATTAGAAATACGTTTTTTTTTGTTATTTGAATTTTGAGGTTTATTTTTAATTTTTTTTGTAAAACAACGAACAAAAAAATTCCGTGTATATTTTTTTATAAAGCCTTATTATTTTTCTACAACTCCTTCTTAGTAATTTTTTTTCTACAACCAACTGTTTTCGAACTACATTTTTTTTTAAAGTATGTGTGCAAAAACACATAGGTCCTTTTCAAAAATTACCCTTGAGTCAAAAGGGTCTCCTCTCCTGCGGAAAATACTTGATCTATCATACTGAAAATATGTGCCAAGTATCATCCAGATCGAAGATAGTCAAGTTTGGTGACTGACCGATTTGGCGTGGAATTGGTCATTGGCAACACTCAGACATGCTCCGAATGCCTCTGCAATATTGACCAGAGTCTGAAATTAAGCTTTTTAATATTAGACAAGAAAGGCAGTTGGATTGATCAGGATTTTTAATTATATCTCCGGAACCAAATGCCCGATCGGAATTAGTGGGAAACAGATTCGAACAAAATGGAACAAGTTGCATTCAAATAGGCACAGTCATCACCGAAAGAAATTTAGTGAATATTACTGTTTTATCGCAACATTTCTCTTTTTGGTCATATCTCCGGAACCAAATGTCCTATCGAAATACAATAGGCCATCGCCGAGAGAAGTTAATTACATGCACTTTTCAACTAACAAAATTTAACTGTAATGGTAATATCTCCGGAAACCATTGGGATAAATTCAGTACGGTACTAAGGGAGTCTGATACAATAAAAATTGATCCGTTTGCTCTCAAATCAGTCCAGCCATCTGTGAGAAAGATGAGTGAAAAAAACTTACAATCGAATACACACACATACAGCCATTTTAAGATCTCGGCGGATTGAGTCGATTAGTATGACACTTAACCTTTCGGGCCATAGATCGTAAAGGTGTTTTTCAAGTTATATTATAGGCTTTCGGTACACCTAGGCGTACGAGAAAGGCGAAAGAGTGGTCAAATAAGAAGCGTTTTACTAGAATTGCATAAAGTTCATGTGGACTTATCTAGTCAAGCCCAAAACAATACCGATAAACCTTGAATAATTGATCAACCAGCATTTGAAGAATTTTCAAGCACATCCTTGAAAGATACAGTTCATTAACTTTTTTCTGAGAGAAAAAAAAAAATCGCACGATATAGTATAAGTATACTGTTTTCCGGTAAATTAAATTACAATTCAATTTTTCTCGAACGAAATAAGTATAAGGACATCATGAGAAGCATGAGAAGTTCGTAGTTTTCGAAGCATGATAATATAGTTATGGCACACACCAATTCAAATGCATTTATTCTATTCGAATTGATTTTTGCAACAAGTATGCAAATAATGCAATGATGAATGAAATCGACGGGTGATGGTTATACAGAGCAAAAACTTTTTAAATTTGGCACATTGATATATTTTCTGCCCTTAGTTTATAAATACAACAAAAAATCATTAATGTTTTTTTTTTCCTTTGGTTTGTTTTTTCCGTCGATCTTGTTTTCCGTGCTGAGCACCAATGCTACCGACGTGCCAGGAAGGCAGCTCCCACACCTGGACCCTACCTATCGACCCATCAACTCATGAACCGGGGACCAACGGCTTTACTTCCCATCCGAAGGAAGGCGTGATCAGAGATGTTATGCCTCAGAACATCCCGGCGGCGCCGACTGGGATTGAACCCAGGCCTGCTGGGGTGAGAGGTAATCACGCTTACCACTACACCACCGGCGCCGTTTATTATTAATGTTATATGAAAGTATTTATTATCATTAATTTGCATAGAAATTTGCTTGGATGGATGTAAAAAGTTTATTTAACCAAAGTAAGCCGCTTCTGCCAGTAGTCACATGTATGAAGCCACCCACCTGAAATGTATGGGCTTGGTAGTTTCAAATCTGAGAATGCATGGGAATTTTTCGTTTTTGATTGATTATGAATTGATTGATTGATGAAATGTGTGCATCCACTGGTAATATCCGTTTTGCAGAAAAGTGCAAATTTGCTTTAATGAATAAACGATTTTCCATACTGCTTCACTTGGGGTTGCCATCTGTGATAAAAAAGCTTGAACTATGGAAATGGTTAATTGAAATTGATTTAATTTTCAACAAACAGCGATATAAATTTAAATGGACTTGTATATTTCAACTTCAATAAATTGAATTTCAGATAGCTAAACGTGTAATTTTATATTTAAAAACCTGCTCCAGTTGGTAGTTGAAATTTGCAAAATACTTTGATCTGTGTATCTTTAGAAAATTACAAATTTGCATGAGTATGAATCGTTAATTCTCTCTCTTGTTTATCGGCTCGTGTGTTAATATTCGAAGAATTAGGTTGAAAACTTTCGGAGCACTTCAATGAATCAGAAGTGAAAGCGTTTTAGTCAATGAATGATACATGTAGAACATTCAATTCCGTACTAATGCGAGGAAGGTAGCGTATGTTGCTTTTCGTATTTATCAATGAATCGAAAGTCAAGTATATTTACACTGTATAGTTCATCAATGAAACGAGCCGTAACTGAGAACAAGAGAGAAAGAGAGAATTTTAAGACGCTGCTTCTCCACTTGTTGGCACTATAAGTTTCGCCGCGCTGCATGTTAACGTTTACGTAGATATACAATACACATGAAGACGCTGTACTGGAGTCGCTGGAGTGGACATTACTTGCTCTTAGTCGTTCATAAATCAACCACATCGCTATGAGGAGAGACAGTCAGTGGGTCCGTAGAGTAAACTTATCCTTCCTTTACTCGCGCTTCTCTCACATACATGTTTATTCGTCTTGAGCTTCGGCTTTTCCCCCCGCGCGCCGGCTTATTTCATAGTCGGGTGTGTTGTGTTGGTAGCCGATAGCTGGGACATAAAAGAACACGGTGCAGATATTCTAACAATCATTAACTGTTAAGGAAGAACAAGATACACACATCAATAAAAAAGAGACACGAGTGAAACCATTGCGCTGTATGAAGACTCGGCGTAATGTACCATAGCTAGCGGTGTAACTTAAAATTCGTTGAACTGCAAACACAAAGTGTACATTGCCTAACTGAATGGGTTATACACAAAAAACATATTAGCAGTTAGTTGCGCAAATTTCTTTAGTCTTTATCCGCTTGTCACATCGTGCAGATCAGCCTGGAAAAAATCTCTGATGGCTACTGATAGTGTGAGGATATTTACTACCGTTCGAAAACTAATTACGTGAAACCCGGTATTGTAAAATTTTGATGTATGTGTAACATTAAATGTTAAAAGTGCTGTGATATACAACTGCTGCTGAGTGCATCCGTTTTTGTTCTGTGATCTCGATTTGATTCACTAGAAAATATAACGTTTTTGTTACAAAGTGAAATTATGTGTCAAAACATGAATACGCCAAAAAACCATATGTACGTTGAGCAGATTAGTGGAACAAATCAAGTTCTATCAATACACAGGCTAATAACGGGCAATGACCAAAATAGCGCCAACATCACCAGAAAGTACGACTGTCTAGTGGTCGAGCAGATCACCAGGCCTGTACGTTCTTTCCGCGAACGTGTTGCAATGAAGCACCTGAAGAAACACCAAATTTCAATTCGGAGAGTGACGCTAATGTCTCATAGTAAGTGATCATTTCATTTAAAGTTTGTGGTTTGCTGGAAGAAACAATTAGGTTACATAGAATTAACATATAATTTTAAATAATCTGTTATATGTGGATACATTTGCCGGTGTAATATAATTATAAATAATACAGAAACCGAAAATATAGCATTTTTATTAATCATTCTTATTTATGTGCACAGGGACACTCCCTTAGCTCAGTCGGTAAAGGCGCAGCTACAAAGCAAGACCATGCTGGAGGTGGCTGGGTTCAATTCCCGGTCCGGTCTAGAAATTTTTCGGGTTGGAAAATGTCTCGACTTCCCTGAAGAAGTATGATTGGACTTGCTTGCCACCAGGCATGGAAAATCATTTACATTCATTTCATGCAATCATTTACATTCATTTGTCTCTAACTTTTTTCATCAACAGCATTCCGCAAAATGATGTATAGAGCTTTAGTAGGTTTTGTTATTAGCTACAACTTTTGCCCATAACTCAAATCTGTATATCTTATGCATCACGAATTAGAGCGGGCAGAACTTGTTACTGTTTTTCAGTGAATGTAAAATACATTCACTGAAAAACAGTAGGGGCTTCTGTTCGCTCTGGTTCGTCATACATAAGAGATACGAATTTGAGTTATGGGCAAAAGTTGTAGCTAATAACAAAACCTACTAAAGCTCTATACATCATTTTGCGGAATGCTGTTGATGAAAAAAGTTAGAGGCAAATGAATGTAAATGAATGCATGAAATGAATGCAAATGATTTTCCATGCCTGCTTGCCACACAATTATACCAATGCAAAAATGGTACAAGCATCGAAAGTTCTCAATTAATAACTGTGGAAGTGCATCTAGAACACTAAGTTGAGAGCACGCAATAAGCTAATATGCGATATGCAATAAGCTTGAAATGCGAAGAAGAAGAAGAAGAAGAAGTTATGTGCATAGGAGGCTTAGAGTGTTTCAATGTGGTAGTATCGTATGTGATATCCATAGCACCACATTATGCACAATTTTAGCTGATTTGAACTTTTTGTATTCCGAGTCTAAATTTGATAAAAATTTAGGGAATTGGGTGTGTTTAAAAAACTCATATAAAACTTTGAAATATATAGCGCACATGTAGTTAACGCTAGATTTTGCGGAAATTTACACTATTGTTCATGTAAATTTAAGTGCAATATCGCATAAATCAGCAATTTCGCTGTTTATGCCAATTATAGCCATATTTTTTCACGAGGAGTGTTTTTGCGCGATAGTTAACATTCAGATTTTTTTTATCTGTACTGCTTATTTTGGCGCGATTCTTTGTTTGAGTTCACATCAAAAATAGTAGTAGTGGTTCAAGGAACTTCAAATTTTATAGAACCGAGGATTTCTTATTAGTATCCCTATATTTTAGACTACTAATAAAATGTTTCATCAGGTGCTTTTTTCGAGCAGAATATGAGTCAGTCTGAGCGATTATTTTTATGGGTCACTTTTCATTTAGTCTTTTTATATGTATTAAAAAACAGTATTTGCATATCTAGCTCAAGAAGTAATTTAAAAAAAAAAAACCTTTATTAAATTATGCAAGGAAATGTCAGCTGTTTTGTTTTAATATTATTTTAGCAACAAATTATCATCATATTATCATAAGCCGCAGACAAAATTTACGATTTTAGTTTTCTAAAAACATTGAAAAATAATATCGAAAATCTAAAGAAAAACATGTTTTCTTTATCATCTAGGCATACTAATTCAAACTTGTAAAAGCTTTCACAGCCCGATTTTAAAATTTTTTTATTTATAGCTCTCGTAGCTGCTCGATAAATTTTAAGAAATGCATTGACGATTACCATATAAATTAATAATTAAACTCTATTGTTATCGCAGAAATCGGTGATGATTGATCGATTTTTTTATTTATACATATTGATTTTGGAGCAAGTTTATTTGCTTATTACAGCTGTACATTCCATTACATTACATCACTTTTACACAGTTCTCGTAAAATCCATGTGCACAGATAGATAGAGACAAATACACTCAAAAGAGATATAAATGTTCTGTAGGTTTAAATAATGATCAGATCAGCAGTATTCATTCTTGTTTCAATCGAATTACATATTTAATTTGAAATAAATGTAGCTTTTGGGATTTAAACGTCTTAAATGATCAGAACAATTATTGAATTTAAAGTCAAATATTTGCTTAATGCAAACAGATTATAACTAAATAATACTCGTGACGTACATGCCCTATGTTCGATCAAACAATCGAAAACTAAATAAAGTGATTTACAGTCGAGTTATTTGAAGATCTCTAAGGGTAGTTACCCGTTAAAATAATCCAATAAAAATACAATGATTTTCATTGTCATTATAACCATGATATTTATTGTCAAAACTTTGGACATTTTTGTCGATTACCATAAAATCACAACGAAATTCATGGTTCACAACAGGGTTGCTTCCACTCACTTGCTATAAAAAAATATTTTTCGGATTAATGCAATCATTAGATGTTATAATCCTATGTTGCAGTTTTAAGTAACAAGAAGAGGGTGTAAAGTATGTGTTTGACTCATAAAAACTGTCAATTTCGCTTTGAGAGCGTCACAATCAACTCGTAATCACGAGTCGTAAAATCGATGATTGTGGCGCACTGAAAGCAATATTGACAGATTTTATGTGTCAAACATATACTTCACAATAGCGCACAAGAATCGACGGATAGTGAATCGGATGAATTTCTATCCGTCACCAACAAACGACGGCTGTCAACGAAACAAAAACACAACAATGCGAAACAATATATTACGAACCAGGGTTGCCAGAATGATGAATCAGCAGGAAATGAAAATTCGATGGAAGAAAAAGAAGACGAATTGTCAGTTCCGGACTCACCAGTCAAGACGAGGAGCAAAAATAAGCAGCTAGGAAGAAAGTGAAAAAAAAAAATTAATTTGAATCAACTGTATTTTTTTATATTATTTTTCAGAGACGAACCAGCCTACGGCTGAAAGTCTCTTTAATAAAGAAATCAATCAATCACGACCTCTTCTTGTAACTTACAAGTACTAATTTGCATTATACTATTTCATGATTCCATAATTTCGAAAATTTTTATTTTTAGCAAGTGAGTGGAAGTAACCCTGGTTCACAACAATGAAAATCATGGTATTTGATAAATTTATAATAAAAAGGGGGTTGTTAAGCAACTTAAAAAATAAAAAAAATGGATTTTTTGTTAACAAATTTGATCTCATCACATTAATTTTCATTGTTGGAGAATGCTTGGAGAATAGTTGAAAAACGAATTTTATTTAATTTTTTTTCTCCCGTACAACAATTTAACAATACATTTTAATGTATTCGAAATTCAATAGTAAAAATTATCGTTATTTCGTTGTTTTATTATAATTATTTTTTTTTGGGAACTTTGCCCCATAAATCGTAATGACTGGTAAACGAACAAGTATGACTCAAACTGTAGCACTCTTTGTCTGCAAACGACCGGAATTTTTCTAAATTCCAATCAAAATTCAATACTTAGTACAGGAGGTGGAAGCCTGGCAAATTTATTCGAATTACCATGTTCGCAAGGTTGTTTCATATTTCGATGTATAGATGAGAAAGCGTATAGGAAGACCAGAGGGACATACCTACTCACTGTGCAGGTTTACGTTTACGTTAATACGCACGAAAACAGCGGAAGCCAATGATTCATACTGCTGGCTGAAGAATGTTATGTTCGTGATCCAAAGTTAGGTTGGCTCTCATACGCAAATGAATCATGCTTATCAAAGATGATGAAATTGTAAGGAAAAGATTTCGGGTTCCCTTGCTCTAAAATTATAAAGTCCATGTCGCTGTGCTACGAAGGATCGTAATAAACAGTAGTCTGTCGAAACAAAATAGGGTAGTATGGTCTAAAACGCACCCCTGGGGTAAAATAGCCCTGCATGAATTTAACGAGCTGCATTGCTAGTGCAGTACTTGAACTAGCATTCTGGCACATCAAATCCCAGAATTTGTAATACGAAAACAACAAAACATTGCGTGGGCCATATTATCGCCAGGGTCGTATTATGGAATATTCTCCCCTAAGTAGTGCACGATACTACTTTTGCCACTAAAACACAATAAGGGTATTCACAAAGCGTATTGTAACGTACATGTACACCCTCGTAAATGTGTAAACTTACAGTACACTCCAATGGACCCTGATATTCTTACGGTAGCTTATATGTCTTAGATGCGCATAGTGAAAACCCCTAATATCAAAGTTCGCTAGTATGGACTAGCAAAGCATTTTACTAGTGAAGCGTTTTGATTTTTTTTTAAATAGACAATAAAAATAATAACATGAAGCATCGAGACGATTTTTTTTAGCAATCCTCAGGGGAGGTCGTGTGGTTACTGGATACATCGGTTTGTGCTGTGTTTTGTCAGGTACCTAGTCGCACCAAAACGTCTCAAAGGACCGCATGATGCAGACATGGGAACGTTATTTTATATGCTCGTTTGAAATTGGCGACTGCTTCTTTGTTTTCGCCCAATCTGCTTCGATCCGACACCAACTACCAATTCCCCAAAAAGTTGCGCGGGAAGCACGAGTAGCAAGAGAACATGATGGCAGTCGTTAAAGCAGGCCGAGAACCTTTTTTCCTCTTTCGTGCGTCGTCCCTGTTGTTTATGGTGGTAAAGTTTTATTTATCTTTTAATCTTTGATCACCGGTTTCGCGCTTGATCGGAAGAAGTTGTTTTTGTGTTTGTTGTTGTGTTTGTCGCCCACAAAACAGCTTCAACAACCAGCACGAGTTCGCTCCCGTAAAAACGCGAAATATTTAATTTACAACGAGCCGCGATTTATCAATTAGCGCGGAGCCTAGTGTAAGCAATATTAATTACACATAATTGATTTTCTTGTACCGGAATTACGCGAGAAAATTTCAAGACGAGAAAAATATCACATAGGAAAATATCAGCCTAGCTGGAGAGCGCATTCAACGCAGGTAACAACTG